CTCATCAAATCTGTTGTTGAATCCTTCTAGTGAATTTTTCAATTCAGTTATTGTACCTTTCAGCTAACTTTTTTCAATTTGTTTGGTTCTTTTAAAATAATTTCTATCTCTGTTGATGTTCTCATTTTGTTCATAAATTGTTTTCCTGATTTCATTCAGTTGCCCATGTTCTACCTCACTGAACATATTTAAGACAGTTGTTTAAATTGTCAAGTTAGAAGTCTGTTTCTGGTTGATTTCTGGAGATTTATTTTGTTCCTTTAATAGGCCATGTTGCCTTGTTTCTGTTGTTGAGATTTAGGCATTTGAAGAAAACAGCCACCTCTCCTAGTCTTTACCAACTGGCTTTGTGTAGGGGAATGAGCACCTTCACTAATAAGCCCAGCTTAAAGGCACAGTGTCCTCTCAAGCTTTTTGTGGGGATGTGTCTTTCTTGGGGCCATGTGTGTGTGTTACCTGTATTACTTGTACTTATTTATATTCCATTGTATTTAGGTTTCACTTGTATTCCTCTGTCTGTAATCTACTGCCCCAAGCACACACTGATCTGCAAGCTACCTGATGCTCTCCTTGTGCCACAGCACCCCTTGCCCTGCAGCCCCCACCCTTACATCCAAAGTATGGCTCCATTCCCATTGTGCTCTCAGTCAAGTGAAACAGAAACTATTCCCTTAAGCAAGCCCTAGACAAACTAGAAAGTTACAAGCAAGTTCCACTCTTTTCCTTTAGTCCCAAGGGAGAAACTGGGAATTAGGCAGTTTCCTTTTAACAGAGTCATCCTGCACCAGAGAAGGGGTGGCACAAGGGTAAACAAAATGCCACAACATTTTCTATAATTTTGAGTTTGACATTTTCTTGTTGAGGCATTCACTTCTTGGCGCTTCTTAATTGGTGTCTATGATGGAATTTTCACAAAGCTATTTTGATCCAAATGTTATCTATTAAGTGTTTTCCTTGGGGAATGAGGGCCTGGAGCTCTCTAATCTGCCATCTTTCTGAAATCACCCCCTTTTTAAAATGTGACTTTATGTTATATTACTATTATGAAATTAGTAGAGAATGAAATCCAAACCTATAGAAGTCTCCTTATCCAATTCCTAATAACAACCACTTGTAGCCTTTTGTCTTTTGAATTCTTCTGAGGGTTACTTCCTTAATGCTAAATAATGTAGACATACTTTCATTCCTTGATTCATCAAGTTGTACAAATTACTTTATGCAACCAAAGGCACATAATAGATTGACTTGTCCTTTCTTCTTCCAGGTTTTGTTACATTTTCACATTTAAATGTATCATTTGTTAGAATTTTACATATTTTAACATATAGAAATAATTCATGAGTTCTGAATATGTACACAAAGGAGGTTGACACTTAGCCCCATTTCTTTTCCCCCACACCATCCTCTGAATTGCTTTGTAAAATGTACATTATTTTGCAACCAGTCTTTCTTCACTCAAAAAGGTATTTATATATTGTACTTATAATTCACTGTAGAAGAAAATATGTGATGAGCTATTAATGAAACGCAATTGTCACTAAAACTGTGCCTCTCGAATGGCATTTCTTAAATTTCATTCAGAATATACTTACTGAAGGCTTCCTACACGGCCAGCTCGTCTCTAGGCACACCCATCAATTGCTCAAAACCGGTTTGTACAAGCCTCTGTGGAATTGTCTTCCTTGTTTATGGTAAAACGTGTGCACCACGTGACTACCGTTTTCTCAGTTTCAGTGTCACGGTCTCAGCATGGTGATATTTTAAACTGCAGCTCCTCCTCTACATCACCAGCTCTGTCCAGGACATTTAACATTTTCTAATCTTTTATATCCTTCGCTTATTTGACTTAACGTCTGTGTCTCTGCACCTTCCTACTAGAACAAAAGCTCCTGGAGGGTAAAGGAATTGGTTTTGTTCACCACATGGGCACATAATGTTCAATAAACATTTGCTTAATTAGTGACTATCCCTATTAAATGATATCCATTTAATCATGCTTCGGTAAACAATTTTTCTAAAATCTCCCACTGTTCTATTTCTGATAGAATGCCTTCTAGGTCTGCTTTGGACCTAGAAACCTTGAGATTCCATTATGTTACTAGACTTTTTTTCTATTCTTACAGAGTCCTAAGAGTCTTTAGGAAGGATGTGTGGAAAGTAAAGTTTCTAATTCACTGCTGGTCTAATCATAGTACTTTGCCATCTCACGTCATTGAAAGTATGGCTGTGGATAGAATTCTAGTTCAAAATAATTTCTCCAAGTTTGAGAGGAGTGCCCCATTATAGCACGGACCACAGTGCTACTGTTCAGAAATCTGGTAATCCTCAGAAGATAAAAGAATAATCAGAGAAATAATATAATTTCCCAGAGCTGAATAGAGTCTTCAGAACAAAAGGTCTATTGAGGGCTGTGGAGAAAGTATAAATGTAGAAACAATTTTCAAGTTTCAAAACATAACAGATTCTTCTTCTTTGCTATCTTTTTACAAAACTGTTAATCACAGGTTGGACACCAGAACCCCCATTTCCTTTACCTTTTCATCCCTCATTATTTACCAGGATGATTTTTTCCTAAAATGTCTATCTGATCACACTAGTTTTCTTCAAGAATGTCAGATTCAAAAGAGGAAGGAATGGAGAAAGGACGGCTGTGCCTCTTTCTGGTTTGCAGCAGTAGCTGATGCTGACGCTACTGGCCCAGATGGCCACGGCTTCGTCCTCTTATGCACATGTGAGATGCGGCTGCATTTACTTAGGAACAGTCCAGTCACTTAATTCCTGTACCTATCCAAGCAGCAAAACCTACAAACATTTGTGGGAAATGTTAATGGTACAAAATAGACATTATGGGTTGTTGGTATAGGAAAGAGGTTCCACTTAAAATCACCCCATTTGGAATTCGGAACCTGGGTGGCTTTGACAGGAGAAAGCACTACATTCTTGCCTCCTTTGCAGTATTTCTGCGAAGTGAAACTCTGGTTTTTAAACCTAGAAACAGCAACTAAAATGTTTTCTGGCACTGACTGAGGATGCTGCACTCAGCAGATAAGCCCTGCAGGAGGGTGCGGAGTGTGTGGCACAGAGCTGGGGTCCACGGCAAGGACTCAGTCAAGTCGCGCTTTTATTTGAAAAGCACACTGGCATACAAAGGATGAATGTGTGTAGAAAACTCAAAGTAACCTTAAGAAAAAGGTAACCAGGTGAGGTTCTGATGATTTTGAAAAAAGTGTCTTCCTTGCTGCCCCTTTAAAGGAGAAAAAAACCCCATGCACAGAATCTTTTCTGGGCCCCAAGGGAAGACCCTCAGTGGCATTTACCTGTCCAAAGCTACTGAACCCATGACTTCATACAAGCTCTGATAAACTCTGCAGCTTGGATTTACAGAAGAGAACATTTAGGGGCTAGAATGGAAGCATGGTTTAATGTTAGCGGAAAACGAAAGACAATTTAACAAGATGAAAGTCAACTTTCTTCAATACTAAGATCACCATTCTTTAAGCACTTACTTGTAAAGTTCCAAATCAAACACTAGGGGGCCTTCTTATTCAGGGAGTGATTTTTTTTCCCTCAGAAAACAAAGATTTTTCTTCTGGCCAGATAGAAAACTGTTAAGATGATAAGCACTGAGAGGATGAGGGTAGAGGTCATGTGTATATGGGAGAAAGTGTTTAAAACAAACAACCCTCATAGTCTGGGAAACATCATAAAAACAAAAAGATAACAAAATATAAGATTAATTAAGATGAGTCATTTAATGGTTTTAATTATCTTACTGGACCATTCTGGATGGAGAAAATATATATTAATACAAGGCAAAATTTTAATTACTTTCAAGTCTGCTAATAGCATAAGCAGAGGGCATAGAATTTCCTTGTCTGTACCAATTTTTACATTTTCACAAGTGTTTGCAATTCCCAGACTATGTCTCTGGCATGTTTTATAGATTTGTCTTTTAGTAGTTACCTTTCAACATTTTATGCATGTCCTTTTAAAACATGAGCTCAGAGTAGAGCTCCTGATATGCCAAAATCAGGGTCTTCAGATACCTTCTTCCTAATTGGGATGTCTTGTTGGATTATCAGAATTTTATTTTGCAAAGAACTTCATTTTAGGCCAGTTTCCTTTTAGAGTCTTTGGACATGAGGACAAAAGTTACCAAAACTTTTTCAAATACTCTAAAGACTTTTCTATTTCTAGAATGTTGTGTGGCAATTCTCAGGATACAGCTAACCCTAACTGACCTATGCACGTGATCTGCTTGCTGCGGCGAGAAACCTCTGACAGGATGTGTCTGGTGAGTAAGTACACAGACATACAGATCTTCATCTTAAACCACGGTGAGCTGTGGCACTATCACATTTTAGCCAAATCAATCTTTGTTTTGGGGACCGTCCTGTGCATCACAGGATGTTCAGCAGCACCCGTAGTGTCCACTCCCCAGATCCTGTATCACGCCTTCCCTCATGTTGTGACATTGCCAAATGTTCCCTGGGGAGCAAAATCACCCCCTATGGGACCACTGTCTTGAACTATTTTAGGAGAAAACTCCCCAGACCTTGTCATAATGGAAATATTCTGACAGCTACATGATTTCTACAGTTATAATCACTTGAAATGTGGCTAGTATGAGGAATAGAATTCCTAATTTTATTTCATCTTATTTAAATCCTATATATACTGTAAGGACAAGATGCTTCAGTATGGAAAATTAGATATTTGATATCTTTGTTAAAAGTCAGATATCTCTTTTTTATGGTTGACAAAACTTGAGACATGGAATATTAATATAACTTTGCCTACCTCTATTGAATACTAACTCTCATCCTACCTTACATAAGCTTTTTTTGATAATAAGTCCTATTTCTAAACATTTAAGTTTCATTCTGACTAGGCATTTGTTAATTTGTGAAGTTCAAGATTACAGTTATAGAAATTTAAATCCTCTTGTAGTCATAAATGAAAATACAAGAATGCAAAAAAGGTGCAAAGGAAAAACCAACCAGGATAGAAAGACGACATTTATTGAATCAAAATCAATACTTTATTTTTAATATCTACAAGCCAACACTGAACTCACTTTATTCAAGGATGAACACAATGTACAAAAAAAGTATGCTTATATTATAAAAATAAGTCAATTTTATCTTCTGGGTGCTGAGCAGAAGTCATTTTAACTAAAATCAAGGCAAACTTGTTCTCTATAATGAAACTGCTATAATTTAATAACAAAAGTGAAAGCTAATGTGCTCAACAAAGTATTTTTAAAGGCCCACTGATATTGCTGCACTGGAAATGCTGAGCCCAGTGTCAACTGCCGTCAACATTTCTGCTCACTGGCACCAGCAGTTCGTGCCCACATCATGGGAAAGTACCTTTTACAGAAAACAGATCACTGCTAACAGAATCCGTGTGATTAAGTCTTCATTAGGCTTCCCTTGCTTAACAGTTGTTAGCATATATTTCAGCAAAGTATTAACAGTATAATAAATTTCGAGTAGTAAAATCCTAATTAGCTTCAATTTAAAAATGAGATACACTGCTATGGGGAACAAATGAGCTCCCAAGATTTACAAGCAATTCCATTTATGAATGTGGAAAGCTGCCTCTCTTCACACTCTCAAATCTCCCTTTTTTTGTAATTTTCTTGATTTTTCTGGCACTTTTTCCCAGGCACCATTGGCATGTGTTCTTGTACACAATGTAGTTATTAACTGTGCCTGTGGAGTTAGTGGCAGCTGCAGAATAGTTACAGGCTAAAAAGCCCAGCTTTTGGCTTGCCCGTGGAGAACACTCGCTGTCCTTGGAGCAGCAGGAAAGACAGCGATTGGAAAAGAGAATAAAATCAAATCATAAGTTGGGAAAAAGGGCCCATGGTTCCCTGTATTGCAGTTCCAGGAGTTATATGACAAATAGAAAAACTATACTAAATTTAAACAGTCAAAATAGAAGTAAATTAAATAGCATCAATCTGTCTTTTAAAGGAGTTTGCACACAGCAACATCCTGGCAAGTAACTGACCCTGGCTGAGCAAAATGACAACGGTACTCAGGCAAATTCCAGAATGCCATGTCCACACAGTAAGTTAAAGTTTATAAGTTATTATACAAACTGTAAATTGCCTATTTTGAGGAGTCCTTATGTCTCTCCTTGACAGATTCTCTCTGGGCTTGGGACTGAGGCAGGTGCAAAATACAAGGTGCCCCACCGGACTGGCTAAATTAAATTCAAAAGAATTGGGTTCAGAGAAGTGCTTTCATGTTTTGGCTACATAAACCTAACAACCTAACATTTATTCAGTTACCAGTTTCATAGAACTTGGGACTAAGGTAAGGTAAAAGGTATAAATGAAAGCAGATGAGAAAATGATCACTATTCCTTTAATTACCTAATTTCTTATAGCTCTGTAAGTTTTCAAGTAAGCCCCATTTGTTGCATGAAATTTTTAATCTTACCAAATGTAGTTAGAAAGGCCTGAATTGGACATAGGATTTAAACATTTTAATGAACACAAACCACTGACTCACTCAACACTACAGTCTAAGAGCGAAGAAGAAACCTTTACAAAAATATATGAATACACAAAATTTGTTGAGGACAAACATATATTGGAACCTGAGCAAAAGCTTCTCACCACGTTGGTGGTTTTTTCACTGGCAACAATTTAGCCAGGTCGGTGTGCTGCTCTTGGCAACTTCCATGCCCCCCCAATACAGAAAAGCCAAGGACTCCAGAGGTGTGCAGTTACAGTACTGGACAGAAGTTCAACAAATTGCTACTGGAAACAACTGGATACCATAATATTAAATATAAAAACAAAGATAAAAGTAAGTACACAGAGAATGAACAGCTAATAAGATGCTCAGAATCAGACTGGAAGAGTATTACCACAACACGCAGATACACAACCACACCTGTTACAATCACAGGTCCTTGATCTCAAAATAAATATATTGAACATTTACAACAGAATGAATGCCTTATGAATGCAAGCTTTTTCTTTTATTGCAATTCTAAAATAAGCTACAAGTTACCTTTTTCTGTGAAGATGATGTGCCTTGGTGCCACAGCTAAACTTTCTGTATCTAATAGCAGCAGTATCATCAGCCCAGGGCATCCCATGGGCTCCCATCAAAACAACTTCATAAAGCATGCAGATAATCTATTCTGCTGAAGTTTCAAAAACAAAAATGATCATTGTGCTTGTGGGTCTGTCTCATACCTTCCAAAATATACATAAATGGTGGTAAGTTAGCAAATAATAGCAGGTCCTTCCTTTCTAATAAAATGATAAAAGGTAGAGGGGTTGGCGGTGAATAGAAAACATTTTAAAATTGAAAAAAGTTGCAAAATGGTTTTAGCATTCACACAAAAATCATGCGAAGATCAGATCCATATTGATTAAACATTTAGATATTCAGCTACAATCCAAAGAACTCTGTCCATGAGTCCAAGGCATGCATGCCAGCTGAAGAAAATGCAGGATTCGTCTGACAGTATCTTCCTCAGAGCAGAACAGTAAAGTGTCACTGGAGTAATCACAAGAGGGTGAACAGATGCCATCACACTTCTTTTTTATAATTAAAAAAGAAACCACAATCACAAGACCAAAAAAAAATTATAGAATAGTGGACAGAGGAAATATAGAAATTCACAATGACCTATAAAACCAAAAGAAAAATTCAAATTATTTTTATACTCTCAGGGTTCATCCTCTTTAAAAGTAGTCTTTCTGTTATTTGAAAAGTTTATAATGAACTATTTATAAACACTGTGTTAACTCTAAAATTATTTATAATTTCACTCACTTAAAGTTCTAAATAAAGTAATTGACTTTCCCAGTAAGCTTATATTTTTAACCCCAAAAATTAATTAACCATGGTGTCAGCTATTTGTTGGTCTTAAGGTCCCAGTCCCTGAGGCACTCACTGGAGAGGGGACCCGGGGTTATCCTGCCTTCGTGTCCACGAGCTGCATCTGCACATTGGCAGACATGCCCCCGCCGTAGCCCCCCTTGGACTGCATCTGGTTCTGGATGGAGCTGACCTGAAACAACAGAACAAAATGGAGTCGGGAACTAGGTTCAGTGCAACTAAGTGATTCTTTTTCCCAACATTTTAGCTGGGCTGCTTTTTTCAGAAGGGTACTTTTATTGAAAAAAAATGTTATTTTTTATAGGCTTAAAATTTTCTGGTTATGAGGGCAAATGGTGAGGCTAGTAATTACAACATGTTTTACAACTCCTGCTTCCCCCTTTCTCTACTTCCCAGTTACTAAAAATCGGTTTTACAATTTACAAGGTACTTGTAACAGTAAAAATACACAGATCAACTCAACTTTCTATTCCTCAATCTCAAATATCTTCACAGATACCTCACAAATATGATCACCTCAATTGCTTAGAAAATAAGAATGAATGAAACTAGACCAGCCAATGATAAATCTTAAAAGTCTACGGTAAAATTTACAGCCTTAACATGGTCTGATAAAAAAAAGTCCAAGAATCCAAACTGTACTCACAGCTTATTTATTAACATTGTAACTGGGTAAACAGGCTTCTTACCTGTAAAGTGGTTAAAGATGATAACCTCTCCTAACCATAGTACAAGGCTGTTTGCTCATAAATTGTGAGATATATATATGCTAGAATATTTTCTTTTTGCTGAAACAACAGCACATAAAGTCATTTGCAAACTGTGAAGTACTTTCAGTGTATCATCATTATTCCAATCTTAGGTCGTATAAATTAGAAGCAGTATGGAAGCAAAGAATCAGAGTCAGGCTAAACTGGTAGGAGGACCACCAGCAATAAGATTCTGGAGGTGATGGTCTAACTGTGAAGAGAGTCCAAGCACTGGTAGTCCCCACCCTTTTTGGCACCAGAGACCAGTTTCATGGAAGGCAATTTTTCCATGGACTGGGGGTAGGAGAGATGGTTTGGGGATGATTTAAGCATATTACATTCATTGTGCAGTCAAACCTCTCTGCTAAATGATAATCTGTATTTGCAGCCGCTCCCCAGCACTGGTTCGTGGCCCAGGGATCAGGGACTACAAGTGTTAGGGTATCATATGGAATCAGTTCAAAGGGCCCCTCACACTGCCACCATATCTGGAGGGGGCAGAGGTGAATGGGGTACCAGACATTTAGTAAATCTACTCTGCAAACACTGAGCAGTCTCTGTAACATAAAGCACAAGTGAGGTGCTTTCTCACTGGTGATAATGAGTCAATATGTTAAATGCTGTATGTTAAAATAAAGTAATAAGACTTGGTCAAGTCATTTTTGGAGTTAGGCAGGTTTAAATATAATGATAGCAGAGAACAATAAAATGTAAAATGCATAGTTTACTTAGATCAAAAGGGTTTAAATGAGAAAATGTGTTTCGCTTGTAAATGGGTACTTTTTTACTGATCTGGCAAATCTGCTTATGTGGAACATCTTATTCCAATAGTATCATATAATAAGGTGTTACTATAATATATATATTTACATTAACCAAATGACTACTTTAGGTAAGAATATATGAAAAAGAAACTGCAATCTACAGACTTATTTTTTTAAGTAAACTTGCTCAGTTAATAAATTCACTAACTGCCCCTTCATAGTAAATAACATCACATTTACAAGGCACAAACTTGATTTCAGCCCTGATACCAAATAATTTTCCACCTAACATGCCATGTTACCGTTTATAGATATTTTAAGCTTACTTTAAAAACAACAGTATCGTTATGTTTTTACGTTGTTCATTTATAATGCCACATAGATTCTAATTAAGAAAAGTATTTTTCCTACAAAAGTCAATTCTTCAATTTCAAACTAAAAGGTTCAGATTCTATAATACGTAACCTTTCGGTGTTGAGACTGAATGTATTACTGACTATGATACACAATAGGGTTGTGTTATTGAAAGGGTCACAGAAATCCTTTCTGGCAATAAGTTAGTATAAAAGATAGTCTTGGAAAGAACAATATATTTAGAGGAAAAAACAAATCACAAGTGATTGGACCATTCGATAATACAGTTCAGGCAAGGCTGTTTCACAAGCATCAAGCCATGCTCATAATTCTAATTGCTCAGTTCTTAGGACAAACTTAAGAGACACTATTTTTTTTGGATTAATACCATATCTACTTACAGTTTTGTCTTATTTACACTATTATTGCACAGAATATAATTTCTCTCACAGAGCCAGGCTTATCAAGTTAGAACTACCAGTGATACTTTAGGATACTTACTACAGACTGAACACCCCCCCTCCTTCCTAATAGCAAGAACTCAATGCTCTGTGAGAGCTAGATGCTGAGTACTGCTTTAGAGACAAGAAACTCATATGTGAAATGATTACCAAAAATCTTTGGGAGACACATTTGGTTCTAAAGCTAAACTGCTTCATAAAAAGTCCACTTCGGAGCACAGAAGGCTGCCTGCAGAACGCAGTATAGAACTTTGACAACAGCTGAGGTCCCATCCTAATCCTGCATCTAAGCTCGAGAGGCAGACAGGGAAGCCCTGCAGAGCACAGTCCTGAAGTTCTACCTGAACTACAGCAAGCATACGAGTTAGGTGTACCAATGACAGGCTTTTCACTGACAGAAAATGCCAGGGAGGAATCTTAAAGGAAATTCTGAAATGTGCATAAACAAGATATAAAAGGTTCACAAATACCACGAACTAAAATTTAATTTTTCCTACACAGTTGGATTTTTTAAAAAATCTGAAGTGGCAAAGATGACATCAGTTGATGAGAAAGAAATTAAAATTCATCATTATATAATGAATTTGAAGTAACTCATTCTATTTTTATATATTATATAATAGTGTCCCATTTAGTTTTTTCACTCCATGTTGATCCAGGAAACAAAGCAACTGACTCTATTTTGACAACAAGACACCTCTTGCACTTCCACAAAAGCAGTCAAGTGAAACAAAGTACTTTTCCTACAGATTTAAAACAAACAAGCAATTTCCTTTCCAGGAAGCTACAAATGTCATTCCTTTGCTTACCTAGTAACTGAAGTGACAAATGTGATGGCTGTATCCAGGATAACCGTCTACCTATTTTAAAAGTCTCTGTTCTCTTAAGTCTTTCGTTAATGCTGTCTAGTAAGTCAGAATACAATGAGTCATAAATTTGTGTTTATAAAAATCTGAATTGACTTTCTGGTTTTGAACACTTTAGGCATCAGAGAAAGAGGCCCTTCTTAGTGGCTTGCTTAAAGGCAAAAGTGAGGCAGAGCCCTGATAAGAACTCTTATTTGGTTATTTCTTCTATTGTACTGCAATCTGGTTTTCTCTTAGAGAAAAATTAAGGAATAAAAGGTAAATCTGAAGTCTATTCTGAAATTTACTGAAACCTCCAAAAAAGACAGCAAATAGATCTTCCTTCCTTATTTCTGGTTCTTCCCATCTTACTGCCAAATATGACAGAAATTTTTGCTGCCTTGCCCTAAAGGGATATGTACAAATTTTACTCCTCTGTTTAGTGCATGAGAACTTCTTAAAGTAAATGCAATAAAAATGTTTGCAAAAGTCAATTAAGTGAACTTAAGAGAACCAAAGAAATTATTATTAATAAAACGCTGATCTCCAAGTCCCTTGGAAGCATGATAATCAATAGGACGTTAACCTCCATTCTAAACTCAAAGTTTCAAAGTATTTATTCAAGAATATGGCAGCTATGAAGAATTTAGTACAAGAAACACAAACAAATACTTGGCAAATTAGAGGAGGATTATTTTTCATAATTTTCCTCTCCCTTCTATGCTCACATTATACATTTATAATCACCATCTACAAATTAGCATAGTGTTATTAAAAATGTATGTACATATTACACAGCTTTCACACACCTATCTACATGTTCCAACCAACATACTTACTGAGTTCATTCCACTGAAGAGGTCTCCCGATCCTACGTGAGCCGTGTGTACAAAGTTTGTCGGCTCTCCAATCATACTTCGGTCAATCCGTCGTCGCCTTTTCTAAAATATGGGGAACAATGTGTTGGGAAAATGATCTTATTATCACAAAACTTATTCTGATGGGTTTCTATACTATTGATGAATGACTTTGTTTAATAATATGATAAATTTGCCTAGGACATAAAAATGCCTAACTTTTAGACTACCACGGTTACTTCTTACGATGAAATCCCCAAAAGAAATCTATGCACAAACAATGATTAGTAAAGCAAAATAACAGGTTATTTAGAAATTATTAGGCTATTTGGTCTAGCTTTGGCCATCCACATATCTGTATAATAACCATTTAAGTTTTATTCTTTTTGAAAAACATGAGATTATCAGTCATCATTATTGTTTTTTTGTTTGTTTGTTTTTTGAGACAGAGTCTCACTTTGTTGCCCAGGCTAGAGTGAGTGCCGTGGTGTCAGCCCAGCTCAAAGCAACCTCAAACTCCTGGGCTCAAGCAATCCTACTGCCTCAGCCTCCCGAGTAGCTGGGATTACAGGCATGCACCACCATGCCCGGCTAATTTTTTCTATATATATTAGTTGGCCAATTAATTTCTTTCTATTTATAGTAGAGACGGGGTCTCGCTCTTGCTCAGGCTGGTTTCCAACTCCTGACCTTGAGCAATCCGCCTCCCAGAGTGCTAAGATTACAGGCGTGAGCCATCGCGCTGGCCTCAGTCACCATTATTGTTAGCAGAGAACACAATATGATCTGAGCACAATGCTCTGATTTTAAATATTACTTTCTAGCATTCATCAACAAATTTACTATATTTTGGTGGTCATTAATTAGATCTGTGGTCCCCAACATTTTTGGCACTAGGGACCACTTTCCTGGAAGACAGTTTTCCACAAGGGGGGGTCGTTTCAGGATGATTCAAGTCATTACATTTATTGTGTAGTCAAACCTTTCTGCTAACGATAATCTGTATTTTTAGCTGCAGCACTAGTATCACCTCCTCAACTCCACCTCAGGTCATCAGGCATTAGATTCTCACAAGGACACCTGAATGTATATTTAATCTTAATGTTTCTTATATTTTCATCTATTATTTTTATTTCTCTTTATAATTTCACTGCATTGGAAAATAACTCCACTTAATCCTCTTCAGAAGTCCACAATTTTTTTCTTAAGGGCCAGACAGTAAATATTTTAAGCCAATACCGTCTCCATCATAGCTCTGACTCAACTCTGCCATTGCAATATGAAAGCAGCTATAGACAATACATGAGTATAGCTATGTTCTGGTAAAATTTATTTACAAAAACAGGTGGCAGACTAGATTTGGCCTGCGAAGAGTAGTTTGCTAACCTCCGTTCTCAATCAGTAAATTTTTCTGTAGTAACCACATACTTTTATTTACCCATTATGGTAATTTTTCAGGAGCTCTTTGTTATGTCACTGCAGTATTTTTTTAATCTCTTTGAGAATTTGTATTACAGGTTTTCACATGTTCCCCCAAAATGCTTGATTGTACAGTTTACCACCACTAGGGAGCAAAATACTCTCATTTCTTTATTTCTCTAAATTTACTTTCTTCACCCCCTTTCTTAGAAGAGTTGGTAAGAAATTCAATCTGTGTTTTGGAGCCCTGCTCCACAGGATCACATAAAACTTTCAGGCTAAAATGGTATCAATAAAGCCAAAACAGGGTCCAGATCCTCTGTCTATGTTTTTAATTTTTCTATTAACACAACACACTGGTTTCCTGCTACCTTTTTCTTGCATTTGCTGCTTCAGGTGCTCTTCGAGGTGCCTCACACACTCCCTGCCTCCGCTGCAGACCCATACCCACAGCCACTCTCTGATCTGGGGTGCCCTGTGCCAGCAGTGCACTCATCTTTCCCCGGACTCTGTTTCTAGCGACCTCATTCAACATACTTCTCTTCATACTATTCTCATTTGGGATGATAAAGCATGATTCCCTAAATGACCCTTAAGAACAATGCTAGCTTCTCTTTCTTAGGATTAAGGTAGGGAAAGAAGACACTAATTTTGTGCCCCTTTTCTTTCTTGATAATAAAATGTTATATTTCCCTTAAATATGTCTTGTTAGGAAGCCGTTTGTCCACGCACATCCAAACCTATCTTCACCATCAGAGGATATAAATTTTCTCAGCATGTGGGCAGGACAAATCATTGGGGTTTCTTCCCCTGTAACCCTTGGCTAAAGAGTGGAGGTTCCTGGCACCCTCCAGATAGGAACAGAAAAGGGCAGATGTCTCCAGCTGAAGACAAAGGACAGCAGTTAAGTTCTACATCTGTAGGTCTGCAGACTTTCCCCAGGGCCTTGTACAATCAACTCATAAGGACAACTGCTCCTGGTGTGCACACAGCCACGTGGCTCCCCAGCCAGCCCTCTCAGGCGGTGAGGGAACTGACATGGGTCAGGGACTCAGACCTACTCTCAGACCACTGGGAGTCTTGATCACCCCTTGCCCTGTGAACGTGCAAAAGCAACTCCCTACATTTCTGAACCTGCATCATTTCCTCCGGAAAGGTGTGTCTGCTGCTTGGCAGAAGGCTCCATGTGTACCTCAACTCCACATCAAGTGATTTAATCTAACAGCCGAGTTACTGCAGGACCATGTTTGGGGAGAAAGTCACCCTGCTGCACTCAGGCCACCACCTATCTCACTCAGAAACGTTTCTTCAAAGAAGGAATGGATACAGTTGTGAAAGAGGGATATTAACACACACAAACAATGATACAGCAAACATTCTGATTATTAAGGGAGGACATTCAAAAGCAGGTAATCAAACTGGCTACTCTCACTGAAAAACAAAGGATGGGTGACTTCAGCTTACTGCTATCACACTGTGTTATTGGTTAACCAATTTATAATATAAATCTGAAAATAGTGAATACTTTTCAACTTGGACTTTACTGAGAGTCAGAATTTAGTACTGGCAGGTTTCTTCATGCCATCTAATCTCACATTTTTTAGAGAGGAAAGCAGAAGCTCTCAGTCCCTCCTCCTTAAGGCTGGAAGGGACACAGCTGCTCCAGGAACTGAAAGGACTGTGTTGCTGAGGCAGAGCAAAAGAACAGGGACCTTAGATGAAAATATTCAGATAAGCAAGAGCCAGATCACATAGGGTGTGTGAAGGACTGAAGTGTTCTCAAGAACAAGGAAATAACTAAAAGGCTTTTGAAGCAGAAGAATGACACAATCAAATGGTTTCAAAAAGCTACTCCACCTAAAGGTAGAGAACAGGCTCAAAGAGGCCAAAAGGAGAAGTTATTACAGTAATGTTGGTGATAGGGGTTACCTGGATTCAACTAATAGAGATGAAAAGAAGTGGTAGATTCAACAGGTGTTCAGTGGATGAAATTAACAGCATTTGGTTGCTGGCTGGATTTGGTAATTGAGAGAGGTAGGAGTTAAGAAATATGCAATGTCCAGACACAGTAGCTCTCTCCTGTAATCCCAGCACTCTGGGAGGCCAAGGCAGGAGGATCACTTGAGACCAGGAAGTTCAAGACCAGCCTGAGCAACAGCGAGAAACCCCTCTCTACAAAATATAAAAAAAATTAGCCAGGCCTGGTGGTGTCCACCTGTAGGCTGATGCAGGAGAATCACTTGAGCCCAGGAGTTAGAGATCACAGTGAGCTATGATGATGCCACTGCACTCTAGGTGGGTGACAGAGACTGTGTCTCAAAGAAAAGAAATATGCAAACTTCAGATTTGAGTACAGTATGTGCAATCCACTGGGTTCTGAAAGAAGCTAAACTGGAGATAAGGATTCAGAGTTACCAGGAGTGAGACTGGAAGTACCAAGGAGGGAACAGGCAAGGGAGGTGAAAGGTGATGAAAGGTCAATTAAAGACTGAAATACATTCATTGGATTCGGTACCATGAAGTCAACAGGCTCCACAGAGCACTGTGTCTGTGGAGTAATAGGAGCAGAAGACACCTGAGAGAGGACTGCAAGGAGATGCAGGTGAAAAATGGAGAACACAGACAATGGAGAAAGCCTGGTCTTCTGGATAGGAGAAAGACACATAGGTCAGTAGCTTTAGGAAGAAAAGGGCAGGAGAAAGTGAATTTTTTTCCTTTAAGATAGGAAAGACTTGATTATGCTCAATTCTGGTGGGAAAGGTCTAGGAAAAGAGGTAAAGAAAAACTGAAGGTCAAGAAAAAAGACTTTCAACATTACAAGGTTCCAGAGAAGGTAGGAAGGATGAATCCAGATACAGGTTGAGGTGTTTTTTAGACACCTATTATAGCATTCTTAATGAATCAAAAAGCTAGATTCTAAGCATTATTAAATATTCTAAAATATAAAAATATATTTTTCATGCACAATGTGGACATTTAAGGAATGGCACCCTTTTTTGGTGTGTTGTATTAAGAATTCAAGATAGACACAAGATTTAACTCATGAGCAAACAAGGGAAATTCCAGCGTCAGCCCTCTGCAAAGAAAAACAGGAAATGGTACACTCTGCTCTGATACGTATTAACTGTTGTCAGTAGCAAAGAGCCACCGTGTTTCCTGGAAACAGACTTTATTCTTTACAGGGAACTTTTACCATCTAAATAATCCTTGCCATCCTTAAAATATTAACTTTTATTATGCATAAGGTCAAGGACTAGCAGTAGACCCAAATGAATAGTTATGTTAGTGTGGAGGGGATTAGACAAAATGTCTCTTCCTGACATTTCCACATAGTCGTATCAAAAAAAATCATTATTAAAGATAATGAACTAATAATCTGGAGTAGATGCAAGGAGGAGAGGAAATAAAAAGGTTAATTTCAAAGTTTTTGCTACTGTGTGAACAAACCATCTCTAAAAATACATTCATGGAACAATAGGGTAATCTGAAAACTGGGTATTAAATGATAATAAGGAAGTATTTTAAACTATTTTTGTTTTGAGTGTGATAATAATTGTGATTATCTTAAATAAAAAGTTCTTGCTCAGGCCAGGAGAAGTGGCTCATACCTTTAATCCTCACACTTCAAGAGGCCAAGGCAGGAGGATCCCTTGAGCCCAAGAGAT